CAGCACCAAGCACACACACACAGACAAATCTCTATCTCTCTCATACGCGCGCGCGCACACTAACACAGACACAAGCCCCAAGCAGACACACAGGTCTTTGCTGTTATATCAACTCAAATGCTTGTAATACCATGTATCAAGTACCAATGTAATACCAAAAGGTTTTATATAAAGGTAAATAAATACTGAGTCGCGCCAGCTCCGGGCCACAGCGCACATTACTCTCGGGCCGATTCCGGCTCGGATGCGGCAGCGTCGGCTCGCTTATGGCCGCCACATCTGGCCTGATTGATTCGGGCCGGAATCGGGCAGTGAGTCCACAAGCATCTGGAGTCCGGCAGCCGGAGCCGGGCTGAGTGGTAAGTCTCCGGCAGGTGAGAATCTAGCCGGAACTGGCCCGAGTGTATTTTGCTATCTGGGAAAGCTCTCTCTCTCTCTCATTCGCGCACGCGCGCACTAACATACACACACACACAAGCACCAAGCACACACACAGGAAAAGCTCTCTCTCTCTCTCTCTCTCTCATTCGCATAGCAATATCCGCGATATTGCTAGACAGCCCGCTCCAGTCCCAAATTAAGCCCGTTACCGACCGCTCCCGCAATTTATTTGGAAATGCAGACCTCTACTGGAGCGCGTGACATCAGGTGTTTTTTTCTGCACAGCGATGACTTTTTCTTACTGCAGTCATATAGAGCGCTTCATCAAAACACAAGTTGAAGCAGGTGGTTAGAACGCAAGATGCGCAGAGTGCAAAAACAATGAACAAAATAGTTGATCCCAATGGAAAACCACTTTAAAAAGGCTCCTGTCACCACAAAAAATAAATAAATAAATAAATGAATTAGGTGTGATCGTGGCTTAAACAGCCATTCAAAAGGGGCATCATCAATGTGGATGTTAAATTGATGTTAATCCTTTTAATTCACATTTTTGATGTTTTAGGATGCTAGGCATGCTTCTTCATGCTGGAGCGCGTGACATCAGGTGTTTTTTTCTGCACAGCCAGGCCCGGATTGGCTAATCGGGAGGACCGGGAGTATTCCCGGTGGGCCGGTCCGTTTTTTGGCCGCGAGGGCCGGTGTCCCTAGCTCCAGAATCTGTTGCTCTCAGCAGTCACACTTTTTAAATTTATTTATTTACTTGACCACAGCCTTTTTATTCATTATTTTATCGCAATTTTTCTCTTCATATCTATTTTAATGATAATAAAACTTAATTGTGTCTCCACACTGTACACAGCTGTTGTGGTCCAGCGGTTAGCACGTTCGGTTAAAACCCCGCGGACCCGGGTTCGATCCTCGTTAGAACAATTTATTGTTTTCATTTTTATTGTTAAGATATATAATACTGTTAGGGTTGTTGAACATTTGAAGTTCTAAAGCAGCTGTTTTCTCAAAAAAAAGACGTGATAGTGTAATTAGCAACTGAATTGGAAATGACCTTACTTTAATATAGTCAGTCGTGAACTGAGGTGGGCCGGTCTGAGGCTTGTAACTCCAGGGCTGAAAAGGAGTCCCACTCCGGCCCTGTGCACAGCGATGACTTTTCTTACTGCAGTCACACAGAGAGCTCCATCAAAACACAAGGCGTAGGAGGTGGCATCCGTGTGGATGTTAAATTGACTTCAGTCCTTTCGATTCACATTTTAGATCTGTTTTAGACTTCATACTTAATTTTTGACATCTCTTCTTTTGTGTTCAACAGAAAATCGAAACTCGTAAAGTTATGGAACCACGTAAAGGTAATTAAATTCCCATTTTCAACCCAAGCTCATTCTGAAAACGTAGTCCCGCGGACGTTTCTGGAGACAGCGGAATACGTCCCGGGAGGTACGTACTGCTGCATTTATTATTTTTTCAAGCGAACGTTGCGGGGCGGTGTGATGCTGTTCCCCTTTCGCGCTTGCCGGCTGACCGCTCACCTTCTTGTGGAGGGCTTTCCCGCTGCAACCCGTTTGTCCACTCAGCTCACCGTGTAACGTCGGCAAGCTCGAGAGACGCGGAGAGGAGGAGTCGACCACGGTGATCGGTTTCGAGTCCGGGGGAGAGCAGTTCCAGCAATCAGGTAAGACAAAAACAGAATCCCAAAAATTAAGTGAACGAGTTTCGTGACAGGGCGCGAACGCGGCGAAATCCGAAAACGCGGTGGGATAAAAACAAAAACAAAAAATGTAAAACCGTTGCTCGGGTTCAGGGAAGCGAGCGGGCGGGCGGGTCGATCGGTGAAATTGGTTGGGTTGAGGGAAAGAGGAGGGCGGTCAGCCGATTGGCCGGTTGCGCAGTCAATCATCCGGTCAGTCGGACAGTGGCCTCTGGCGGGTGGACGCGAGAACAGCGCGGGCGCGAACCGCGCTCGCGAGTGACTTTCGAGATGGGGAAAAAGCGCACAACGGCGGCCTCTCGCGGATTCGCGAAAACAAAAACTGCAGCCGTACGTACCCGCCTGGACGTATTCCGCGGTCTCCAGAAACGTCCGCGGGACTACGTGAGCCCACAATGAGCCCGGGTTGCCCATTTTTTTAGTTTAAACCTTTGCTTTAGGAGTCATTTTGATATTTTTATAATTGCACTGACAAGAGCCCTACTCTCCAAGTTGCTTAGGGCCTTTTGAAATCAGCTCTGCTTTCTACATTGAACTGCTTGATTTGAAAGTCACTACACTTATAATAATGTACTTTTTGTTTGTGGGATTTTGTTGATAACTTGAACACATCAAGCCAAACTCTTGCGACATGCTTAATTACACATAATTGGCCCATCTGGGTTTTAATTATCGATTTCTTGGCAGCAGAACTCGCTTTCTCACATCTCCTTCACATGTCAGGCCTAATAATAGTAGCGTTTTCAGTGAAGTGGTTGCATATAATGGCTGTAGCAATATCAAACTGTTTTTTTTTTTGCTGTGTCGTCTCTGACTGCCAGTGGTGAGATGTCAAACTGAGATAATGGAGGGGAGAAACGCTCTGTTCGCTTGACCCCAATGTGTCACGCGGCGCACCTCAAAACTTCCAGCCGTCTCCAGCAATATCAATGGGAGGGAAAAGATCTTACGCGCGACTGAGAGACACTTAGCACCAAAAGCACAGGAGCTCTCAGAAGCAGGAATGAAAGAGACAGAGGTTCCCTCTGTGTGTGCAAGGTATCATGGGTATATTCTCATTATGCCAGCACATCACAGGAGCAGCTTCATGCCACACTAATGAGAGAGCCGGCGCAGGGTGTGAATCACAAACACTAGGGATGCCACGGTTCTCAATATAATATTGAACCGTATGGTACGACCTCCACGGTTCAATTCGCACTTGTGAATTGCGGTTTTCTAAGTTTTGCGTTTAAATAGTTTATGTGCGTTTTATACCTCCCCGAATTGACTGTGTGCCTCTAAATCCATGAGCTGAGATGAGGAAACTCCTCCCCGCGAGTAAATATCCAATCACTGTGCTCTAAAGTTAGGGGGCGCTTGACCATCATTCCACACTTTAACATGGCGAGCGGTGGTGAAGCGAGGCTGAGGCAACAGTACAAGGAAGCGCCGGCGAAGTGAGACAACAGTACGAGAAAGCGCCGGCGTCTTTCAAATCTGCGGAGTAAGGACATTTCGGTTTTGCAGGTAAGTATAATGCCAATAAAAGAAAAAATGGTGAACAAAAAATAACTGTGTAAATAACAAAATAACACACTAGCTCCGCCCCTTCCGCTACGTGAGCAAACCTGCAGTCATTGAGTGCGTGAAGTGTCCATGGCGGCTTCCGAAACCGCCTACTACTGCATTTGAATTTAAACGTACTACTCGGCCATTAAAAAAGTACGTTCTATACAGTATGAATGTGAAAAGTATGAATGGAATTCGGACATACTACATCCTCCATTTTGTCATGGTCACGTGACCTACCTGCTCAGTTGCGTCGCCTCACTTCCATTCATGAATTCTCTTACTGGGCATTATGGGATAGCGCAGCGTGGATGGGATGCGCACTTCAGAATCTCGCCGGATATTGTAAGTCATCCGAGTACTTCTCGCCTACTGATTTTCGAATTCTATAGCTGCGTCCCAAATGGCACACTATACACTATGCACTCATGCACTATGTACTTATGCACTTACACACTCAACAGGATAGTATATGTATGTAGTGGCATCCCAAATAGCACACTAATGTTTTTTTTACTAAGCGGAAATTCAAACCGTTTCCCTGATGACGTTTGACAGTTGCCAAATCAGTGAAATAAACAACTGAATTATCAAATAATACCTGCCGTGAGTACTGCCGTATTCACCATCGGGAGGCGCTATAATCACTCTTGTAGGAGAATTTTGCTTTCACCATCCAAAATAAATAAAGTTATACAACATTTGCGCCCGATAGCTCCGCCCCTTCCGCTACGTAAGCAAACCTGCGGTCGTTGAGTGTGTGAAGTGTCCATCATTACACACTTCATTTTAGCGGCTGAATGAGTGCATCATCCGGGTAATTAAAGTGCACTTATTATTTTTAGAATTTTCAGTGTGAACACACTACTTACACTATTCATACTACAAAATGGCGTAAAATAGTGCATAAGTATGCGATTTGGGACGCAGCTTGTGAATTCGGACATACTACTCGGCTCGCATACTGATTTTAGCGTACTATATAGTATGGAAGTACGCGGTTTCGGACGCAGCCCATCATTACACACTTCATTTACCGACTGAATAAATGCATCATCCGGGTAATAAAAAGTGCTCTTATTATTATTAGAGTTTTCAGTGTGAACACACTACTTACACTATTTATACTACAAAATGGCGTAGAATAGTGCATAATATGCGATTTGGGACGCAGCTTATGTGTGTATGTCCTTAGACCTCCAGGATGGGGGTTGAGCGTTGGGCTAACGACCCACCTCATAAAAAAAATTATGTTACGAAACACCAACATACCGCTAAATATCAACTTCGATATAACATTCAATATAAATGGCCCTGGGAATAAGTAAATAATTAACAAAAACACTTTATGATAACATTTTATTCACAAACACAAGTTGAATCAAATAAGCAATGACTCCTTGTTGTCATTTTGAACACAATATGTCAATAAGATACAAACGTATTTCATCAGAACATATACTGTACATTATATTTCTAGCATACTTTTCTGTAAAAATGATCAAGCTTCCAAAAAAAATAAAATAAAAGGCATTATAGACCGATATTAACCAAGAATATTATTGCAATTCACAATGGATATGTAACTAAACACACTCCACAATAATGATGAATATGTTTTTTGGCATCACTTTACATGAAGTCTGTGTATATATAATATATGTTTGAAGGTACTTTAATGCATTAAATTGAGCAAATCTTTATATAAACAGTATAAATATTTTCACATATGAGTATACCTGTATTCTGATCTGCCAATCACATTGACTAGAAAATGACAACTAAACTATATGCCAGCTCATTATTTACACCATATGATATTTTGTTTTGGTGTCTTTTATTATTATGGTGACTCAGTGGTTAGCACTGTCGCCTCACAGCAAGAAGGTTGCTTATTTAAGTCCCGACTAGGCCAGTTGGCATTTCTGTGTGGACTTTGCATATTCTCCCAGAGTTGGCATGGGTTTCCTTCGGGTGCTCCGGTTTCCCACACAGTCCAAACACATGTGCTAGAGGTGAATTGGATGAACTAAATTGACCATAGTGTATGAATGTGTGTGTGTGTGTGTTTGTGTGTGTGTGTGTGTGTGTGTGTGTGTGTGTGTGTGTGTTTACAGAGTTATCCACTAGTTTGTAAAACGGCTCAAGATTACAGTGTCCACCTGAGATTTGGAGCCAAATTACAGCAGGTAAAGCAATGACGGTAGAAAGATGGCAGCATCATTATTTTATTTTCACACAGGCCTCGCTGACTTTGGCTGTCTTTGTTACATTATTTGCCAATGGCGACAATGTGTTTTCTCCTGAAGTGCCAAAAAATGTTCTTTTCCCTAAGTTTGCACGCCCGTGACTGTAAAGCATTAATGATATCTCAAAATGATTTTCAATTCTGGTTTCTACCATTTTTTCAAGTCTCTCAATGTTAGGATCTCTGTGAAGTTACAGAAATGCATTTTGAAACTCTTGGAAGTGGGTGGCACGGTGGCTCAGTGGTTAGCACTGTGGCCTCACAGCAAGAAGGTCACTGGTT